GCTGACCTCTCACTCGGTTTACACAAGCCTCTTCCGTTGCTTGACACCCCAACAGTATCATGCCACATCTCCGTTGCCTTCGCTCTGCGCTGCTCTTGCTCCTGTACCCTACCTTTTCGTCAATCAATCTGTGGTGTGCCTGACGTCATGTGTTTGCTTCCGACTGCCTTTGCCTGCGGCTCACAGGCATTACCAGTCGACTTGATCTAGTGTCATCATTGATTGAGTGTACATGTGTGTGTGAAGATCGATCTCACGAGGCAAAGTGCATGCTCTTGCCAGTGCCCAAATCGCTGCGATTTCTGCTAGCAGACACTTCGGATGGATCCTTCTTCTGCTTCTTTTCCTTCTTGCGGGGACGCTCAGCCACACGCAGACCGGTCTCTTTGGGCCTCGGCGCATCCAGCACGGACACAGCATTGTCATAATCGAATGCTTTGAACTCTGTCTTCGGCTTGCGCATGGAAGCAGCTCCACTAGTCTGTCCGCGTCCATTCAACTTTGCCAGCGCTTCCAACTCGACAGCTTCTTCGCTCGCTGACTCCTCTCTGGCTCTCTTTGCTGCTGCTTTTTGCTCCGTTGACCACTTTGCTTTCGTCTTCTTCTTCTTGCTCACTTGCACGATGTCCCCCAAAGAATCATCGTCGTAAGAAGAGGCGCCTCTCGACGAGCCTTGAGCACCGGATTGCAGTGCCGATTGCTCATGCGAAGCAGGCAGCTCGACCCGTTCCACCGAAATTGATTCGACGGGGTTCGCGCCATTGATACGCTCGTTCGATTGTGGAGCAGCATCCGTAGATGCGCTAGGAACCAGCTGATCGGAAGTAGTCTGGGCTGCTGTGGCTTTGCCACCTCCAAGAAGCCTGGCCAAGACGGAGCCGAAGCTAGCTTTGATACGCTGAGACTGATCGGAGCCTGCTAGACCAGATGTCGGTGACTGCGAGGGCAGACCTTTAACAGGACCAACAGATGCGGATTCGTCGCTGTGAGATCGATGTCCAAATAGCCAGTGTGGCCCAGCACGACTCTCGCTCGGCTCGTGAGCTGCAATTGTGGGTTGCTGTTGATTCAGCTGAGCAATGCTGTCATTCGTCGTAGTAAGCTTATCCCACAAAGCTGTAACAACGCTTGGTGCGGGCGCCGGATCGTAGCTGTCCGAAGATGAACTCCCGCTTTCGCTTTTGGAAGAGGAGGAGGATGGAGAAGACGGTGTAGAAGGAGCAACAGCAGCGATGGGCAGGCTGTCCCTAGCAACCGCTTCACCGAGCTCCTCCTCAGCATCAGCACCTGCGGCCAACTTCGCCCTCTCCTTGGCTTCTTTCGCCAATTGAGCTTCTTGGTATTGGAACAATTCAGCTCGGACCTCCCTCGCAATGTCGGCCGATCGGTGCTTCAGACCTCTACCGATAGCACTCGTCACATCTTGCGCCGTGCTGAGCGCTCGCGATGCTATGTTGACGAGGTGAACAGCGCTCAAAACGTATCTACATGTTCGATCGAGGCAAGGTCAGCATGCCTATCGTTATAGCCTACGCATACATGAGCAGCTCACCTCGGGCTCTCGTCCTCCTCTCTCGCAGCGCGGTCTCTCCAGTCATGCAGCCTTCGCACCAATCTTTCGGTCCTAGCAAGCCCATCCGCGCCGCCTTTCGCGTAACGTTCCGTCACATTCGCAGCCTCGAGGCCGCCATGTTTGAGCCACAAAGCTTGCCATCCTTCTCTGCCCTCGCCCGCTGGATCCCAAACCTCCTTTGCGAAAGTTCGTGCGGCCGTCTGCTTGCTCCTTTCGAACACGTTGACGATGTTGTCCTTCTTGCCGAGCACAGGAATGCCTTCGACTTCGGCTTGGGCGAGCTCTGTACGCATAGCGTCGTAAACGTAAAGCAACGCGTGCGTGTCTGCGCGAGCATAATAGAGCATCTGTCGCGGCAAAGGTCGGATACGCCAATCTGCCAATTGCCACCTCTTGTCCGCGGTGAAGCCCGTGTACCGGTCCAAGAGGAAGGCGAGACTCTTCTGTCGCAGACCAAGGGCAACGGAAGCGTGATAGGTATCAAAGAGCCCGACAAGGTACAAGCTTAGATCTCGCTGCAGCCAAAGAACATCATGCTCTGCTCCGTGTAACACCTTGACCTTGCTGGGATTTGCAAAAGCTGTGTTAAGCCGATGACACTGCGCTCTGACTTCGGGCACCAGTGGGTCGATTATGTAGTCGCCCCATCGTGTCGATAGCTGCACCAAAGACACTAGACCCTGATACGATCTGTAATTGTGATGTTCGACATCGATCGCAATCTCCTCCACTCGATTCTCTTCCAAATGTGCTTTCAGCGCCTCCAATTTCTCCAAGGAATCCACAAAAGTCAGGTCTTTGGCGGGATCTTTGCCATTGATAGGCGGCGGAGGCTTTGGCTCTGCAGGTACTTCTAGAGCATGACCGGGCACCTTGAATGCGTGAATCTCGTGGAAGTACGGGTTCTCCTCTGGTCTGCCCTCTGCGCAATACATCCCCGCTCGAGGTGGCTGAATGGGTGCGCCTGCAACAGGCTGGGGCGTCTCCTCCAGCGGCACCAGTGCGTGTGGTTTGTGCTTCAGCGTGTGATGCCAGGGTGCGTCTCGGGAGTTGTCCGGCTTGGCCCACTTGCTTTGCGGGAGTGGCGAAATGTTGGCATTCAGGATGTGCGGAGGAAGAGGCCCATCTCCAAACTCGTCATCTTCGATTCCTTTGCCCGCTGCCAATTGGGAAGAGCGCGCTTGAAACTGCGAAAACGGTCTCAAGCCATTGAACTCATCCAAGCACTTGTCTGCTCTTTCCAGTAGCTTGTCCACGACATCATCGATCACACCGGGTAGCCTGTCACTATCAATGGCGGCCTCGTCCAGCTCTTCTCCCTCCTCGATACCCCCGGTGGCGATCAGCAACCTATTGAGCAGCGTGTGTATCGAGATCGAAGTGTCTTGAATGATCGACGGCAGCTGACGATTCAATGTGCGGTGGAAGGTGAGATCAGAGGGGCCAGGCAGCGAAGCGGCTTGGTTGGTGGGCGGCTGGAGTGCAGCTTGCAGAGCGCTCAGGTACTCTGTAAGCGCAGTCTCCGGAGACGGCACTGGAGGCATTGCGAAATAGGGACAGAGTCCCACTGAGCGCGCTTGAAGTAGTGACTCTGCCTGATACTCTCGATTGCTGCGAAGCGCGGCTGTGGCTGACGCTCCCAAACACGGCGACTCGGCTTTCCTGAGTCTGACGTGGGGTGTATGCGTTGAGTGACGCTGCAATGCCAGGGCTATGGGCTGCGATGATCGGACACGGTGTCGTAGCGGTTGATTTGTGCGTTTGAGCGGCCCCACTTGCTCTAATCTCAAAGCGAGACCTGAGCTGTCGTCGTATCGCCGGTGGATGGAATACCTGCAGAAGATGAGTGAGATGCGTGCCCAGCAGCGGCATATCTGGAATTTTTGCGAAACGAGACAACATTTGTTCCTCTTATCGTACGAGAGCTTTCGTCGGGATCTGGCACGCGCGTGCGCGCCCAGTCACGAGCGAGCGCTCAGCGAGGGTCAAGAGCTATTCACGATTCGCCTACTGGCGGCTAGGGTGGCATGCTTTCTGGGAGCTGACCCACATCACGCTCACCACGCCAAATTCAAGCGCAATAATGGAGCCGGTGGCAGGCGGACTGCGAGTCAAGCGGAGCATGCAAAGGGAGAAGGCAATATTCTATTCCTACATTTGAACCTCGAAAGCGTGCCTTGCCGCGGCTCTGGGGCGTGTGCGAGATACACGAACCTTCATCACTGAAGCCGAGGCGGGACGGGCATGGGTACGGGTACGGGAATGGGTATGGGACGCAACGCGATGCAGCAAAGGCCAGACGGCACTCGGCGGAGATGTCAATGTTGCAGCTGAAGCCGATTGCAGGACTCCAACTGTGCGAGCGAGGCGGTTGAAGCAGCGGTCGGCCAGGCAAAGACGCGGAAAGTGGAGCTACATGAGCTCGTGCCGCAGTTACAGAGGCAGGCTTCCGACTTGCGGGCCGACATCTTCACTTCTTTACCCCTCACTGACGACGGACGAGTCTGCGGAGAGGCAATGCATCTCAGATATGCTTGAGGAGGAGATCCGGCGCTAATGTTCGTTACTTGAACACCAGACTCATTTGGAGCGCCGGCAGGGTGGCAGTCCTACTCCTGAGAGCACTGCCAGGCTGCAAGGGCGCCATGCCACTCGAAGATGTTGGTCGATACACCGAGCTCCGAGAGTGCGTCGGCGCGTAGATGCTGCTTGACCGACACTGTGGCCCTACCTAGTGTCGCCGATGAGTATAAAATGCCCACACCGACGACGAGGCTTAGCAGTCTTGACACGAAGCAAACCGGAGAGGTGAGACTAAGGTGCCATAAGAGTACATGTGAGGATCCACATTCAGCTTGAGCAGGTCGACCATCTGCGCTTGTCGTCGAGCACAGAAGCTGGCCAACAGCCACCTGGCCTGACGTCACCTTCCCTCGTAACTTCCACCTGTCCGCATCGCAGCTGCAATACTGTACGTGGCAATATGAAAGCGAGCTCGCTCGAGCCTCGGGGGCCCAGCCTAGACGCCCAATTTTCGTCTTACATCGTCTGGATTCAGGAAAGGGATAGGTTGAGAACGTGCGTAGTACCTCATCGTTGTCATGCGAAACACGCTCGTGCATGACACTCTCACAGCACAGAGAAGATGCTCATGATGAAACCGTTACTCGTTTGCTGCAGGGAGACCGAGGCACTACCGTGGGTGTCTTGGCTGTGTCTCGGCGTCCATGTCGGCACCATGCTTGCCCAAGCCAGCAGCGAGTGAGTCAAAAGTTGCCCTGGAACAGCATAGCACGAGCAAAACTGCTCCATTTCGAGTCCTGTCCTGCTGAAGCGGCAGCAATGCACACTCTCACATTTGGCAGCGGCAAAATGCTGAAATATTGGAAGAGGCCGGCCGTCTTCACTTACTTTGTCATTCGTGCTTTTGCCACCGCAAACTTCATTCTGGCCGTACTGTGGTGCAGCGTCGGTGGACAGAGCGATATGATTGCCAACATCCTTACAATTGTGAGCAGGACCTTTATCAAATGATTCTCTTTGCTTGCTCTCAGCAAGACTTTTGGCTTATGCGAGCATCCCGTGAACGAAGATGTACTTCGTTTGCGAAACTGTCACGCAAGGCGCCATTCTTGTTGCATTTCTTCTACGAACACTCATCCTTTGGCATAGCCACCTCGTGCTTCTCGATGCTGGCTTCTTCCTGTGGATAGCTGTCTCCGCATTCCATCTCGTCGTGAGTAGCTGGCGAGGGAAAGACGATCGTGCGCAGAGCTACTCACTCATCCTATGTGCGGCCCGCACGGTACAGAATTGCTTTACATATCACTTTGCTGGAAGCCCGTACGACTTGCGCATAGTCTACGCCTTGCCTCCTCGCTTTGGATTCCTTCGTTTCGGACCGTACTTTGCCGACTTTGGCTTTACGTGTCTTGTGACTGCTCTCACCATCGTAGGGTCGGGCAGATACGCCAAGAGGCACTTGGTCGGCAGCTTTCATTCCATGACAGAGAGGACCGCTCAAGAGAAAGCGACTCAAGTTGCCAACAGGTGAGTCCTTCTGCCGTCATGGCGACACTTACGCGTGCAACAGAGATTGGGTGCAGCGCCACTTTGCTAAAGCTCCAACCTGTTGCTCGTACAGCATCTTATCTCATCAGCTCATCTTCTTTGCCATCAGTGCGCTCGCAACGGCCCTCATTGGATCACTTGGACTTGCAGAAGCGTTCAACGGCTATTCTGCATTGATCAGGCTCCCCATAGGGCTCTTGATGCAGAGCACGATGGCGTGCGCGCTCATCCAGAACCTGCGTCGTCTGCAGCAAGACGGTGATCAAGCCAGGTCTGTTCTGTACGAGGCCGACGAATTTGCAAAAGGCCGCCGACCAGTGTCAGCGTCGCTCGACGTGATGCGAACCAACCTATCGCCAGACATCTTTATCATTGCCCATCCATCTCAGAACAATGCGGATGTCTTGGAACCGCGCTTGTATGGACTTTCCCCTCGACGTTCTTATGAGCAAAGCTTCAGAACAGCTCACACTGACTCGGTGGAAGGCGCAAACGCGTCGCAGGAAGTCGAACAGTCCTGGCTTGCGCGCTTTTCGAGATGAGAAGATGATGCTTCAGGATGCACTTTGGTGTCTACTCCAACGTAGGCTTCGAAGGGTCTTTCCACCTCTGGCGCCTTTGTTCATGAGCACCCAGTCGAGTTGCAATCGTGAATGCATGCATGACTGCCGTGCTGGACCTGTAGCGTACCTCTGT